GTAGGTCAGCGATAAACGGCAAATCGATTATATTACGTCTGTTTCCCTTCAACCAGTCTCATTAATTCGAAAAGATAATTTCCTGAATAAATTTCTCAAAGTGTCAAAGGTTTTTGTAATTGGATATCTTCCTATTATTTTTTTAGGGAATCCGATATAGTAGGCCGATCAGCAATGGCCAAATGAAAAGGCCATTTGATGATCATCCGTATATATATATATATATATATATATATATATATATATATATATATATATATATATATATATATATATACGAGTAGTTGTACATATGATTCAAACAGACTTTCTCTTCTGCCTTTTCGTTGAAGTAGTCGATCTGAGAGGTTAGCAAGTATCGAGATCAGATGCCGGACATAGCATATTTTAACAGAATCTGCATACAACAACTGGAATATGTTCCATTTGATCGATTGCCTTGTAAAATTATACTATATCAACAAGTGTTGGTGGACTCATAAAATATGTGTCTATTGGATTTTGTCATGTATTCATAACTCAGTGAAGTATAACATGTATCTCGATGAAAAATATTAAAAAAATTCGCCTTAAGTAGTGCCTAAAATGCTTAAAATCGGTAGAAATATTGTAATACCTCCACATACATTTGAGTTTGTTCATTATTAATTTGGTTAAGCCTTTTGATTAACTTATTTAAAGGAGTCATTTGTACAGCAATAGCTTATGTGTACTATTGGCCTTCATAGTTCATTTTAATCCTATTCATTCATTCATTTGCTTGCCTTTCGTCACTCACATTATTTTTGCTTCGTGTGCCTGTGGTTTGGTAGTCTATTTGTGATGCGCCAAATGAATGTATTCAACACTTCGTATTCCTCTTTTGATTTATAATTCGAGAGGTGTTATTTAGTAACGGTTGTCTGAATGAGCAGCATACGAAGTTTAAGAACATATCGAATACCAACCGCCACGAAGTTACTGAGGCACCGTCCACCACAGTATCTTTTGTGCAACCTTACGGTGAATGTAACATAGCGCTTAGACAAAATTACCTGCTCTTGATACAACCTGTATCTGAGCGTATTTGATGTGAACAGAGGTTTATCGTGAGTGAGAAGCATTGTCTCATTCTAACCACAAATCCTATTCATAACACCTAACCTTGATCTCTGACTGAACGAAAATTAATTCTTAAAGCGAACTTTTCCTCTCATTCATCATGTTGAAACTGTTTATCTATCTTTATTTTATTACTTTTCATTACTTTTCTCATTGAAATCATGAATCAGTCAATGTTAGACAGCTATTGAAAACCTAGAAACAATTGGCGGCAGTTTTGTCCTCGTATAGATTTCCCCAGCAATGTGAATCCACGACCTCGAAAGTGGGATTCGAACACAGGAACTTCGGACACACAATCTTATAGTGACACTTATCATGTGCTAACTAGTGACTAGTTTCGTGAAGAAATTCCTGGAGTTCTGGTGAAGAGCCGTGTCTAGTGGATTTCAACTGTAACGGATGTGAAGTAGTTACCTACCGAAGAGATGGATGTAGTTGAGCAATATGGCAGTTGTTTGAAATTAGACATTAACACCCTCAGATACCTAAACAATGTCAAAACGTTAAGCATTCACGTGCGATCTCGGATATCCTGGGTTCAATTACTGATTGTGGAGTTCTGGATGAGCACTGCAGAGGATTCCTGCTCTAAGACGAAAAGTCCGTCCAATGCGTCATAGTTTCTAGTGATGGTCTAGCATTGATCAATTCATGATTCTAATGTGAAGGATATCTAGTTTGTATAAAAATGATCAGAATTTCGAAACGCTTGTTTTCTAGAAATGTATCTGGTGTCATAAGTACATTGATTTCGTTTTGTTAAAACAGCGTTTGTCTTTACAAATATGAAAAACAAACTGAATAGTCTATAGAACAGATGCGATGTATACTTTTGTTCATATTAATTGCTTCAGCTTTTTTAAATAATCCCTACTAGTTATCTTTAATCGCCTAATATTAAACACATCGAACCATGAAATCAAATCAAGTAAATTAGCGGTCAGAGTAAAAATCTTCAGTTTATAACCGATGAGTGATCAATGACAAACCATCACTTTATAAAAACATGTGTTGAACTTTCATCGATGTAACGATTTCAACTTGAATGAGATACTTATATTCAAAATAAGTAGATATGGACAATTTAATAAACTCATATTACAAACAAATTTATGAAACATTAACTTACGCAAGTTTTGTCAAAATTGAACTAAAAGTGAGATACTAATGTATGGATTTGGTGATTTTAAACGCTATTAGTATTTCAAACAGAATTGCTATAAAATCAAATTGATTGGGAAATGAGTATGCAACAGTATACAATCACTGCCATGTTGTCTTATCCGCATAGCTCAAATACTGATTTCAAAACAATGGAATTTATAAAAGACCCGAGATGGATTGTGATGTTTGGATATAAACTGATAGAAAACTGCTTTTGATTTAGACTTTATGTTTATTAGTAAACATTATTTAGGTGGATCTATAGCTCTGAAGCTTATGTCACCTCAAGCATACAAGTCAGAGTTATTTCGGGTCACATTAAAAGTAAATAAATTTTTTGTCTGATAAAAGTACTCAGTTGAAACTTCTCTAATTATATTACTAAATCATGTACGTTCAAATCATCTGCGAGAATCTAAACACACCTAACTGGCAGGTTTCAACAAATATGAAACTAATGACAAGCGAAGTTTTCTACCGATCGTCTCTTACTATCTGACATACAAGATGCTCCAAACCGTAGTTTTATCTGTTTTGGTTGTAACTGTATCCGTTTTCATAGTAATCCATTTGCAATATTTGAAATATTCTGGTGTATGGATTTATTTTCAAAGAAATATTCGTTTACTTGATCAAATTTCTATCACATAAGCATTTCTAATGGTCTAGACATGACCAAACCTAGTAATCAGTCACTTTTCATAGTACTGATAAGCTTCAAATTAATAAAATAAATAATATCATTTATAATCTACTGATTACGGTTGTTTACATTTGATTATCTCATTAAATCCAAACTTCTATCGATCTACAGGGATTGCTGAATTTTTCCAGTTGACATCACTGAATGATCTTGACTGGATCATTACTACAAACCAAAAAGCCCTTGACAACTGTTTCTACAATCTTATCAGGAATTAAATCAAAGATCCTTTAGGTCACAAGAAGAATTTCTAACATTGATGTACTGATTCGATTCACATTTCTGACTTCAATCAAGTGGAAATCTTTCTCAACCACCTTCTAATGAAATTGGTTGATAACTCCTTCACATATAATGTGACTAAACTCTACTGGGTACAGCTCCACACTAGAACTTCAGTGATTGCCACCAACACACATGAAAAAAGTGACTGTCCAGTACATACTGATCTTCAAAGTTTTTTAAAGATTGAAAAGTGATACATTCTCATGGTTTATACATATTTGCTATATCTTTCTAGGTAATTTATTCAATATTTTAATGAAATTAAAAATTAAATCAGATAAAACTAATTCCCTCTGCAGAATTTCTTCAGATTTCATCATTTTTATTTTCTAAAATTAACTGTATTCAGACAGGGTTGGATAGTAGCTAACAGTGTAGTTTGGTAAACACTTTCTGTCCTGTTTAGAACTCTTCATCTGGATGTGAACATCATTATGGGAATACAGGTAAATCCAGCTTTTAAATCAGTTGTAATTTCAAGATAATCTTCCCATGATACACATGTCAAAAGAGACCCATCAATTACAGTCCAAAGCATCAACTTGCAAATTGAAATAAACAGTAAAACTGAATTGATTTATTTACTTACGGCTCTTCAGCAGATGATTCTGTTACAGTGATATCAAAGAATTTTCGCTCAAATTGATTCGATTACCATAAATAAATGTTTCATATTCGGATCGTGAAAAATTCGATTGATAAATAGTAATAACCGACTTTCTCGTGATTAAACTCTTGTCATAAATCTCTAGTATACATTAATAACAATACATGCACAAATAACTTTATGGCATTACAATAAAGTATTCATCTAATTTAATAAACCCTGGACTATATTTAAAGATAAGTACCGCTGGAGGGAACAAATGTTTTCAATGACTTCGTCATCAGATCCTAGAGATATAATTCCATTATTGTTGTATGACAACTATTAAAATAGGGCACACTGTTGACTTAAACAATGTTGTGTTTAAAAAAATAGTGAAGTTAAATATCTATTATAGCATTATTACTCCAAAAATGTGTCAGGTAAATTAGGAAA